TTAATGCAGGTCTTTTGTGTGATCCGTGATGTAGATAGGCTGGGTTTATAAAGTCCAGACTAAAAGATGCAAATTGCAACCAAACTACTGAAAGGAAGCACAAATACTGCAAATACTTTGTGGAGGATGCAAATCCAGTTTGAGTGCAAGAAAAAAGTAAATCATTTGCTAACTCGACAAACGTGTACATGTATGTACAAAAGTGTACATATAAAGACAGAGAAGCATACTGTGTTTGATGTTACTGAGAAAAGTGAAGAATACTAAAGTTAAAGTCCTCCACAGTTAACATGTGAGACATCTCTACAATTCCTGTCCAATTCAGATTTTTTCATTTAATTCAAGTTTATTTATATAACACTAAATTGCAACAACTGTCACCTCAATGCATTTTGTAGTAGGAGGAAGAGACTATACAAATTTCTGGAGAAAAACCAACAAAAAACCCTACGAGTAAGCACTTTGTGAAGCTGTGAAGGAAAAACTCCCTTTTAACAGGAAGAAACCTGCAATACAAACGGGCTCAGTCATCTGCTGTGACTGGTTGTTGACTGAGGAGAAAGAAAAAAGCAAAGGCAGACAGGAGAAAACACAAGCTAAGAGAGAGAGAGAAGACAAAACTCTAATGACACACTGCAGCGGTATGTAAACATGTGGGGAGTGAAATAAGGTGAGAGAAGAAGTGCTCAGTCCACCACACAAAGTCCCACAGCAGCAGTAGTGGCTCAGATCCAGCCCTAACAATAAGCTTTATCAAAAGTAAAGTTTTTAGTCTATTTTTAGAAGTAGGGAGGATGTCTGTCTCCCAAATCCAAACTAGGAACTGATTCCCTTAGGAGAGAGTCCTGAAAGCTGAAGGCTCTGCCTCCCATTCTACTTTTAAAACTATAAGCAAGCCTGTAAAGTGCTCTGTTAGGATAATATGGTGTTTAAGATATGATGGGATCATTCAAGATTTTGTATGTAAGGAGAATGATTTTAAATTTGATTGTAATTTAATGAAGATAAGCTAATGTGGGAGAA